GGTTTCTCTGTGGCTTTGGAGCCTGTCCTGGCACTAGCTCTTGTAGACCAGGCTGGCCTCGAACTCACAGAGATCCGCCTGCCTCTGCTTCCCGAGTGCTGGGATTAAAGGCGTTTTTTACAGATTTAAATAAAAATAGTTTAATAGTTATTTGTCTGGCTTGTCCTTGTTGTATACAGCTTGAAGTCATGAGACCTTATATGATTATCTTAATTACCATGCATAAAGTGTGTTGGGCCCTGACTAAAGTCTATTGTGAGAGACTTTAGTCTGCCTGATTTATTGGCTCCATTCTTCCATATCCCCTCTAGAATCCATATCCCCTCTAGAACAACAGTGAGTAAGCAAGGACTAGACATCAGATGCAAAAGGTGAGTGTAGGCCCTCGCAGAAGGAGGTAAGGGTGTAGTGAGGAATGGCGGGCTGTGTTCTGCCACCCAGCTCCACACTGCTAGCTTTACCAAAAAATAATTACACGGAAACTGTATTCTTTTAAACACTGCTTGGCCCATTAGTTTTAACCTCTTATTGGCTAGCTCTTACATATTGATCTAACCCATTTATAATATTTTGTGTAGCACCATGAGCTGGCTTACCAGGAAAGATCTTAACCTGCGTCTGTCTGGAGTGGGAGAATCATGGCGACTGACTCGGCTTCTTTCTCCCAGCATTCTGTTCTGTCTACTCTGCCTATCTAAGCTGCTGTCCTATCAAAAGGGCCAAGGCAGTTTCTTTATTAACCAATGATCTTCCATCATTTCCCCTTTTTCTGTTTAAACAAAAAAGAAAGGCTTTCACTTTAACATAGTAAGATTACATATAACGAAACAGTTATCAAGTAAGAATTACAGTTATAATATTTACATCTATTTTATCTTTGTCATAACAAAGGAAAACAACTATAACTATCTATTCTTCAACTCCATCAAAGACTCCAGAAGGATATAATATTACCTAAGTAAATGAGAAGTAAGCAACTTACAAAATTCTAGAAATCATAGAGACATCTCGCTGCCTAGACAGTCACCCAAAGTTCCTCTGTACCATTGGGGCATCCATCTTCAGCCTACAGGCCCATAGTATCCAGCAGACTTTTCCATGAAGCAGGAAATTTCAAAGGCAGTCACTGTCTGCTTGTACTGAAGAATGTCTCGCAGACTCTTTCATGAATCAGGAACCCTGAAAGACCATCTCACCTTTAGGCAAGTTTAGCAGTCCTCTTTCTGCGGGTTCTTTGTGTCCAGTGCAACAGTCTAGGCAAGAACAGTTTCTTGCTCAAATGGCTAACCAACTCCATAAGGAGCCTCTTTGATGCCCATCTTCCTCTTGAAGTAGATTGGTGCTGCCAGGAGCAGACGTGTCTCATTGTCCTGAAAAGCCCTAAGTTATTAAAACATTTTAAATGCCATATTCTGCAGTCTTTGAAAGATATGAAGAATGCCTATCTAACTGAAACATATCTCTATATATCTAGAAAATCTAACTAACATGACTTTGCACTTGACTATTATTAATGATTATCTATTAACAACCTATATACATTACATTTTTACATGAACTACACAATCACAATACCTTAGTCAAGGTCAGAAATACATATACATATAACAAAATTGACCTTAATTTTAAATCACTAAAGCAAAATCCATATCAATGCAAATTATTCATATCTATATCATATCCCCCTTTAAATGTAAAAGAACATTTATAAACAATATTTGGGAACATGGGCACAGCATTCTGTTCTGTCTACTCCGCCTATCTAAGCTGCTGTCCTATCAAAATGGCCAAGGCAGTTTTTTTTACTCTTATTTATTAAAGTTTTCTGTCTCTTCCCCACCGCTGCCTCCCCTTTCCCTCCCCCTCCCCCAATCAAGTCCCCCTCCCTCGTCAGCCCAAAGATCAATCAGGGTTCTCCCAAGGCAGTTTCTTTATTAACCAATGATCTTCCTCCATCATAAGGGACAATAATGGGGCAGACACCAAGAAAGGCTTTCACTTTGTCAGGCTTTTGCATAGTTTTTTTTTTTTTAATGCACAAGCATTAAAACCTCAACTCTTCAACTGTCTGCAAGTTGCTTATGAATATAATCCCTGATTTCCAGAAGAAGAAACTTTAGATGAAGTATGGGACAGAATCCAAAATAATATTGAAAGGAACATGAACTAGATGAAAAGCCTTCTTTTAGGCTTCTGTTATTCAATAAGGATGATATCCTCTTAGTCACCTCCAAAGAAGACTTACAACCTATCTATGACATGAGTCAGGACATAGTATGTCAAAACGGGCTAATTATTACACTAAAAAGGTACAAAGATCAGATACTGTGCAACGTTTGGGACAACTGGTTACTAGAGCAACTTTTACGCCACAAAAATATCCATACAAAAAACAATGTAAAAAAACAATTAACTTTCAGAAGTTATTAGGGGGTATTTAATTGGATACATTCCACTTTAGGAATGCCAAATTATGTACTAATCATACCATTTAAAAACTAGAAGGTTTCCTTGCACAGTCCTTGAATAATATCTTAAGAGGCAAGAAAACAAGTATAGTGATTTGAAACCAGACTAGAAGAGGCATTTGCGTGTTACAAGGGTACTTTGCTGCCTTTAAACTTATTTTCCTCAGTAACTTATCTCCTATAGATATTATAGTATCAGATGATGGAAAGTTTACACCACAATGGTCTCAAAATACTAAGTGCTTTCATTACTCTTCTTGCTATATTAACACCTAAAATTCAGTGTTTAAGAGTGTAATACAATTCTATGGATTTTTAGATTTTGTTTGTAGATTATCATGGAAGGCTAGAAAATTATTCATTTGGCCAGCAATTAGATTTTTTATGAACTGAATTTGTGATTACAAAAATTGCCAACCTCTCATTCCACAGACAGATACTTATTTTATTGATGTCTTATCTAGTGGTATAGGAGGAATTCAGTCCTGATAACTCGTCAATTTATTAATATTTCTCATTCCTCTGTTCAATGGGTGCAAGTGGTATTTAGATTCATCTGTTATGATTAATTCATTAACTCAAGTATCATTTCGGGTTCTGCTTATGTAGTTGGGTTGTTCCCAGCAATAGAACCTGCTTCAGTTTTGTCTTCACATCCTGCTATGCTCCCATCACTACAGGAACTACATCAGGTTCAAAGTCTTCACACATCCTTTATTATTCATACTCATGCACATTTGAACCTCCGTGTCTTTATTGCAGAAATAAAGAAGCAAGCTTATGAATGAGCCTGCCTGATTTTCATTGTTTCATAACAAACATTAACACTGTGCACTGATACTAATTGACTTCATGTATAGTATCATACCCTGCTGAAACAAGTGAGACAGTTTGTACAGGAGTGCCCTATTGTGCTCTCTTACACTGCTGTGGCCATGTGGTTGAAGGTATTCCCAGAGTTAAAAATACTAATGAATCATGACAAATGAATGTCATCCACTTTGTTCTTGTCCCTCACATGCCAAATTTGCATACAGTGATACTTATCCCAAAATTCATTGGGCAGTTCTTCAATCCTCAGGGAATGCTTCTGCATTTTACTCTTCTACAATCTTTTGCTGTTGTGTGAGTCCCTACTTATATAAAATCTAATTGTGGACCAGCCTATGTACATACATCGAAGAACTTCTGTAAGGAATGGAATGTTAATGATATTACAGGCATTCCTTATAATCCTCTAGGCCAGTTTACAATGGAAAGAGCATATAGTGCATGAAAATAATTATTATAAATGAAAAGGGGGGACTGGGTGGTGGAGGAGGCCACTTGTTGCTTCCTGATTGCTTAACCCAGAAATAACCACACAGATACTGTAGTGATTAAGTCCTGCTTGGCCCATTAGCTCTAGCTTCTTATTGGCTAACTCTTACATATAAGTTCAACCAATTTCTATTAATCTGTGTATGACCACGTGGCTGTGGCTTACTGGCTAAAGTTCCGGCATCTGTCTCCGGGGGCTACATGGCATCTCTTTGACCCTGCCTCCTTTCTCCCAGCATTCACTTTTGTTTTTCTTGCCTAGCTCTGTTCTATTGCCCTACCACAGGACAAGACTTTTTTATTCATTAACAAATAAAAGCAACACATAGACAGAAGGACCTCCCACCCCAGTGGTGCTTGCCTTTAATCCCAACACTAAAGAGGCAGAGTCAAATGCATTCCTTTGAGTTTGAGGCCAGTCCGGTCCACAGAGCGAGCTTCAGGACTGCCTGGGCTGCACAGAGCAACACTCTCAAAAAACTGAAAAAAAAAAAGAACAAAAACAAAAAGGGAAGCACAAAAGGACATTCTTTCACTTATTCTTGATTTTTTTTTTCAAGACAGGGTTTCTCTGTGGCTTTGGAGTCTGTCCTGGAACTAGCTCTGTAGACCAGGCTGGTCTCGAACTCACAGAGGTCCGCCTGTCTCTGCCTCCCGAGTGCTGGAATTAAAGGCATGCGCCACCATCGCCCGGCTACTTACTCTTGATTTTTAAAATTCTCTAGGTGATATATATTTGAGAGCTAAAGATCATTTCTCTACAGAACATTCTGAACTGCCTTTAAATTAGCCTGTGTGGTTTAAACAATTTGAGATGTGGAATCCTGGTTCACTGAAGAAAATTGGGAAGTGGATGCATCTGTCGTTACCAATTTATGCACTGAGTCATTACAGATTCGTTTTCAGCTCCTCTGGCTCCTGGCCATCAAGGACAATGGTAGAGGGTGAGAAGATAGTGGAAGTCAACAGGTAGA